AAAAACTGCTCAAAAGGAGAGTTAGTACATCTAGTACTCAAACCTGTCCAAGAATAGTATCTCTTTCCGCCAGCCAGTCAGGAAACTTTCTGATTCACAGGCCACAGGTAGAGCGCAAGAGACCTTGGTTAGTGGGGAAAAATCGGCCCTGAACTGAGTAACGGCTCTCCACTTACCTAATGCATCTCAAAACCAAGACCTAAAGGGATCAATTTGCTCTCAAATAACTTCTTTGCATTCTAGAACCAAGCTCAATAATATAGGAATACAAAACTATCCAACAAGATAACAGTCACATCACCCATGTTAGGGACTTAATGTTTGTGTCTTCCTCCTCCAAAGAAATTCTTGTGCTCAAATCCTAACTCCCTCTATGATTGTATTTGGAGATGGGCTTCGGGGAGGTGCCCGGGTCATCATGGGGTAGGGTCTCCGTGAGTGGGATCGATGCCCTTAGAAAAATGCACATGGGAGTTTGCTTTTCCTCTCTCTGCCCTCTGCCATGTGAAGAATCGGGGGGTAGTGAGCAGTCCATTATCCACAAGAGGGGCCTCACCAGAATCAATCATGCTGGCATCCTGATCCTGAATTCCCAGTCTCCAACAACTTCTGAGAAGTAAATTTTTGCTGTTTACGAGCCACCCAGTCTACGGTCATTTGTTAAATCAGGCCAAGTTGACTAAGACAATCTGCAATCCAATTTTTAAAAATTATCAGGCACACACAGCAGCAATAAAATGTGATTCATGGTGAAAATAAATAAAAATCAATTGCATTTCTGTATACTAACAATGAGTAATTGTAAATTAAAAATTTTAAAACACCATTATTTACAAGAAAGTTAAACATAGGAAATAGGAATAAATCTGGCAAGAGATGTGAAAGTCTTCTAAACACTAAAAATATTGTTGATAGTAATTAAGTCCTACAAAAATGAAGAGAAATAGCACGTTTGTGATTCAGAAGAATAATTTTATTAAGACATTCATTCTTCTCAAATTGATCTTCCCAAATAAATTCAACTTGTTGCCCCTCAAAATACCAGAATGTTTGTTTTCATAGAAACTGACAAGCTGATTCTACACTTCGAGGAACTCAGAATGCTCAAAACAACTTTGAAAAAAAAGAACAAGGCCAGGGACTTGGCTCAGTGGCACTGCACCTGCCTGGCAAGGGCAAGGTCCTGAGTTCGATCCCTGGTTCCAGAAAAAAAAAAAACAAAAACTAAAAAACAAGAACAAAGCTGAAGGACTAACACAACCTGATTTCAAAATGTATTGCAACATCACACTAACAAAGACAAATAGTATGGTCATAAAGATAGCAATGTAGCAAAATAGAGAGTCCAGAAATATATATATATATGGCAACTGATTTTTAACAAAAGTATAAAGGTAATGCAGTGAAGCAAGGATAACTTCTTCAAAATGGTGCTAGAACAACTGAATGTTCATATGACTTTGAATCAAACATATTATGTACAAAAATTAACACAAAATGAGTCACAGGCCTACATGTAAAACCTAAAATGTAAAATAAGAATAGTATCTCTTTCCGCCAGCCAGTCAGGAAACTTTCTGATTCACAGGCCACAGGTAGAGTGCAAGAGACCTTGGTTAGTGGGGAAAAATCGGCCCTGAGCTGAGTAACGGCTCTCCACTTACCTAATGCATCTCAAAACCAAGACCTAAAGGGATCAATTTGCTCTCAAATAACTTCTTTGCATTCTAGAACCAAGCTCAATAATATAGGAATACAAAACTATCCAACAAGATAACAGTCACATCACCCATGTTAGGGACTTAATGTTTGTGTCTTCCTCCTCCAAAGAAATTCTTGTGCTCAAATCCTAACTCCCTCTATGATTGTATTTGGAGATGGGCTTCGGGGAGGTGCCCGGGTCATCATGGGGTAGGGTCTCCGTGAGTGGGATCGATGCCCTTAGAAAAATGCACATGGGAGTTTGCTTTTCCTCTCTCTGCCCTCTGCCATGTGAAGAATCGGGGGGTAGTGAGCAGTCCATTATCCACAAGAGGGGCCTCACCAGAATCAATCATGCTGGCATCCTGATCCTGAATTCCCAGTCTCCAACAACTTCTGAGAAGTAAATTTTTGCTGTTTACGAGCCACCCAGTCTACGGTCATTTGTTAAATCAGGCCAAGTTGACTAAGACAATCTGCAATCCAATTTTTAAAAATTATCAGGCACACACAGCAGCAATAAAATGTGATTCATGGTGAAAATAAATAAAAATCAATTGCATTTCTGTATACTAACAATGAGTAATTGTAAATTAAAAATTTTAAAACACCATTATTTACAAGAAAGTTAAACATAGGAAATAGGAATAAATCTGGCAAGAGATGTGAAAGTCTTCTAAACACTAAAAATATTGTTGATAGTAATTAAGTCCTACAAAAATGAAGAGAAATAGCACGTTTGTGATTCAGAAGAATAATTTTATTAAGACATTCATTCTTCTCAAATTGATCTTCCCAAATAAATTCAACTTGTTGCCCCTCAAAATACCAGAATGTTTGTTTTCATAGAAACTGACAAGCTGATTCTACACTTCGAGGAACTCAGAATGCTCAAAACAACTTTGAAAAAAAAGAACAAGGCCAGGGACTTGGCTCAGTGGCACTGCACCTGCCTGGCAAGGGCAAGGTCCTGAGTTCGATCCCTGGTTCCAGAAAAAAAAAAAACAAAAACTAAAAAACAAGAACAAAGCTGAAGGACTAACACAACCTGATTTCAAAATGTATTGCAACATCACACTAACAAAGACAAATAGTATGGTCATAAAGATAGCAATGTAGCAAAATAGAGAGTCCAGAAATATATATATATATGGCAACTGATTTTTAACAAAAGTATAAAGGTAATGCAGTGAAGCAAGGATAACTTCTTCAAAATGGTGCTAGAACAACTGAATGTTCATATGACTTTGAATCAAACGTATTATGTACAAAAATTAACACAAAATGAGTCACAGGCCTACATGTAAAACCTAAAATGTAAAATTTCTATAAGAAAACTGAAAACTTTTTTTTGGCTTGGATACTACTCAGTAATAGAAATGAATAAACCATTGGTATGCGCTCCAACTTGAATGCCAACTACACAGAAAGAAAGCACGAGGACTTCATCTTATAAGATTCCATTATATGAAATTCTAGAAAAGGCAAAATGATTTACAGTGCTTGAAATCAGAGGTGCAGTGGCTTATGGATGGCTTGGGGCATAGAGGGACTGGAGGGAAGGATGACAAAGGGACCCAAGAAAACTTCCTGGGTGATGATGATATGTTCACTATCTTGATTGTCTGATATTTCCCCCAATTTCTACATATATCAAAATTTATCAAATAATAGGCCTCTCATATGTAGAGTGTGTTGGATATCAAAGTATTTATTTCTTTAAAAATTATCTGCAGGTAATATTCTTAACCTTCAGGCCTGAGCTCAGTCAAGATGACTTCTCAGATATAACTGAGGAGAAGGACAGGTCTTTTTTTTTTTCCTCATTGAGTTTATTGGTACATTTTAGGTACGCAGTGCAGTTACATTCGTTATTGGGAACTTGTACCCTTACATGACAGGTCTTGGTTCTCATTTTTTCCCCTTGTCCCTGCCTGAAAGCCATGTGGTACACAAATGCTTTCATTTTATCATAGGAATAGCTGGAGTTCTAGCACTCGACCCAGGGGAACGTTTAACACATGTATAACTAAGGTACCGCTAAAACCCGCTGAAAGGTAAAAATGTGATTTCCCAGTAAGTTGTATTTAAGAGCTGATGAGAAAGATGGGAGAGCAAGTATACACAGAGGAAGGTAGAAGAACCATGAAGCAAGCCCTCCCCTAAAAATGGTCCAGAGAACAGCGATCTAATGGTGACTCAGAGTCTGAGTTATGCCAGAGTCGTTGAGCTCAGACTGCTGAACAGAGACAAAATCAAACTGGCATGGGTAAAATGCTCACTTCTGGCGGAAAAGCTGCCTGTAAATTGGATCCTAGAAGGAAAGCAATTTAACTTATGCAGACACAAGTGAACTTAAAACAGGAATGAAAAAGCTTCTATAACTCACACGAAATATTTAGTAGCTTCAATTTTTATTGTTATTGCTGAGTTCAATTCACAAAAAAACAAAAATATTTCTCTAATACCTAAGGCTGTTAAGCTTTAGGATAAATCATAGAGGCAATGAAACCTCTTTTTCCAAAAAACAAAAATCTTTATCATTTGGATACAGAATGGATCTATTCAGAATGAGATCTCTGCAGATTTTTCAAGAAACCAAGGAATGGATGAGATTACCAGCAAGGCTGCCTCTTTGTTTATGACCTTTTATATTTAAACTGTAATGAGCATCATGCCTTCCATACCTTCCATAAAGCCTTAATAAAGGGCCACTAAATAATTTCCTCCTTATCATAAGAATTCAATGTGAACAACATAGAGGAAATATTTAGTGTCAACTTGCGAATGGGGAAAACATATTTGGAAGTTCTATCCTACTGGTGAAACACTGTGGATATCCACGCAAGAAACAAATACAGATGGTTCAACTCAGTGAATTTTTTAGCTTTATCATGGTGCAAAGGTGCAAACATGGTACACATTCAGTAGAAACTACACTTTGATTATTTATTTACTTGATGCTCTGTAGCTTAGGCTTAGTAAATGAATTTTTTACTTAAGGGTGCTTTTATAAGCTCATGTTGAGTTGAAAAGCATCTGTCAGTCACTAAATTTTTATTATTTCCTAGATGTGTGCAGAGGTGAAGAAACCAAACATGGGCCCTCTGACTTCATGGAGTCCGTGGTGGGGAGGGGGGGATCCCAAAATAAGTACACAATTACACATTGTAATAAGTCGAACAGATTGTGTATCCAAGGAGGCAGGGAAAGCTCCCTGTGCTGCCTAGCTGTGATTTTTGTTCTCTCCAGAAACAAGGAAGGCATTGCTCCACTGCCCCCTAATTGTAGCCACTCACTGTGTTCTTGCATTAGTAGTAATTATGTGCACTTGACGTTGTCATGCTCCGAGTGCAGCAGCCAGCCCGACGAGCCTGGCTCACTTTTCCCTCTGCTTAATCCCGCAGGTGCTGACAGGCAGGGCAGAGGTATGCGCTGCAAGCAGAGGCTGCCCCTGCAGGCGAGGCCACAGGGAGCCCTGAGCTCCTGGGTATGCAGAGCCGATCCTGAAGATCTGCATCAGTCCTGTAAATCATACACATAAAATTTAGCCATGATTATGTAAGCAGGGTCTGAGTATAGCTGGGGGAGAGAAAGGAGAGCTTTGCTGCAACAGCAGGAGGATTTTTAATTATTTCTAGCTTCCTTTCCTGTCCCTACTGAACGCCTGACCCCTCCTGTGTACCCTGCATCCCAAAGCCACGTCTTAAGGACACTCCAGAGAATTCTCAGGCTTCTTCCGTGATCAGTGGCTTACCTGAAAAGATGAGTGATAAGCAAGGTGATTCTCCATTATGTCTTTTTGTGCTTTGATCGTGATTATCACTGCACTAGTTAAGTCTACCTTTTGATTTTCAAATACTAATGCAAATCATGAATGTGATAAAAAGGCTTTTAAACACCAAATGGATCAGAAGAGTAATGGAGTAAAGGCTTTCAGAATGGATTTCAGTAAACCATGACAAGACTTCTCAGTGCCATTTTAAAAAAATCTCTACTAATATTTGTATAGCAGATGTTAAAGAAATCCCAGGGTATGCTATGGGGAATTGGATACAAAAACATGCATTATGTCAGGTTAACAGAAAATATCTACTCTGACATAATATCTACACACAGATGCTCAATAAATGCCCATGGCATTTGCACCAAGAAATTATCATGAAGTACATGGCCCCCTTTTTTGACGTCAAATAATTTCATAGGCCCCCACTTGCAGACATTGAACTCTTACGTGATTGAAAATAATAAAAAATAAAGTCACTATGTGTTTAGATTTATATAAGAAATGTTCTCCAAAGCCTCATGTACATAGGTGGAGTATCTACTCTGACATAATATCTACACACAGATGCTCAATAAATGCCCATGGCATTTGCACCAAGAAATTATCATGAAGTACATGGCCCCCTTTTTTGATGTCAAATAATTTCATAGGCCCCCACTTGCAGACATTGAACTCTTACGTGATTGAAAATATGTGAAAATAATAAAAAATAAAGTCACTATGTGTTTAGATTTATATAAGAAATGTTCCCCAAAGCCTCATGTACTCATAGGTGGAGATTTTGTAAAGCGGTTTCATTACGGGGCTTATAGTCGACTTAATGTTGGAGATGGGGTCTGGTGGGAAGAGGGGGGGTCATTGGGGGCGTGACCTGGAAGGTTCTGTCTCTTCCCTCCTCCCCCCTTGATCTCCTTCCTGTCTGCCCTGCCATGAACAGCCCATCTCTACCGCGCCGTCATAGCCAGCCAAGTGTGGAATGAAACCTCTACCAACTGTGAAGTAAACCTTTCCTCCTCTAAGTTATGGGTATCAGGTACTGTGTCTCAGCAATGAAATAGTAATTAAGACACTGTAAATTTCATTCAAAGCTTGTACAAGTACAAACCCTGGCCCGCTAAGGCTGTGAGGTTTAGAGTCCTCTCCCACCTTGATGGGCTGTGAGTGAAATGGCAGATCAAAGTTCACTTTCCATAAATATTTAAATAAGGTCACAATTAGTGGGGCTTTTCTGTGACAGAACCTTGCACTTGGGAGGCAGGTGGCAGCACCACTGAGCTAAATTCCCCACCCTCTGTGACTATTTAAATGTACTGCGTACTATAACCCAAAAAGCTATAGAAAATCAAATGACCTCCAGTTTAATTATCTTGTGAACTATTTTGGAAATGGAACATAGCTTTCCATTAGATGTTTTGGTGGTTCCTAAGACATCATTATCGATCAGAGAGCATCATATTAATCTTAAATGAACTATTAAATTAATAAGCTTCCATAGCTGAGATTCAGCTGGGAAATTCATTTGGGAAAGTATTTAAAACTATCAAGCACATGAATGTCTGAAAAGATACGAAGATTGTGTGACAAAATGGAAAGAAAATAAAGACAAAAACGAGGAAACAATGTCTCAGTACAAAAGGTATGTGAGTCTTATAACTATCAACTCTTAGATAATTTGGCTGAAGATACAAAAAGAAAAATAAATATGCTTCCTTCAATAAGATTCCTTTAAAACAAGAATACAGGGAGAAAAATTACAGAGATGAAACCAACTCCAAAGGCCATCAGACTGGGCCTTGAAAGTGCAGGTAAGAGCCCATCTGTGGTTGACAGAAGTTTTACAAACTCCTGGGGAATCTGTTATGAACCTAAAATAGAAAATCCCAAGAGCTGTTCGTATTTGTTTCTGAAGAAGCAAAGAAAAATTAAACCCAGGGCCTCCGCTAGCCTGATTCACCACTGTGCACTTTCCCCAGCTCAGCCCCCACCTCACAGCAGGCTGACACTTGCGCTATGACTGACTGATGCTCACATTGTTTAGGAAATATCATTGTTGGCCCTTTTGCAAGGCTCTAAAGGGCTCATCACTGTGCAAGCAGCATTCATGCTCAGCCTGCTATACAGTTTGCGCGATGACTCCTTCTTCCTGAGTCGGATGCTCAGCAGACGAAACCCTGGTGGTAGCCCGAGCTGTGACACACCTGTGACTGTGGACCAGTCCTGGCTGCTCCTGGGAGCTTCGCTGATGCCTGGGCTCCACCCGCAGAGATTCTGATTTCATTGGTTTGGGAGTGGCCTGGCCGTCAGGATCCCCGTGTTGCAAGGTTCTCCCTAGGAAATTGACATTGGTACAGTGCGTAGGTGTCACATGTACAGATTTGTACACCCACCACTGCAATTAAGATTATTCCATCATTACAAAGATTTCCCTTGCAATACCTCTTCATGGTATCACCTCCAACAGCTTCTCACCACCACCCATGACCCCTCACGAACGCTAATCTATTCTACATCTCTGTTTGTCCTTTCAAGAATGTTATATAAAAGAGAATATTATACAAATGCCCCCTTTTGAGACTGGAGTTTTTCATCAGCATGATGCACTTGAGATTCATCTAAGTTTCTGCATGCATCAATAGTTCATTCCTTTTCATTGCTGCTACAGATGTACCACAGTTTGGGGCTACTAAAAATAAAGTTGCCATGATCATTGTGTAAAGGTTTGTGGGTGGGAAGATAAGTTTTCATTGCTAGATTGTAAAGTATTTAGTTTCTAAAGAAACTGCCAAACAGTTTTCCAGAGTGGCTGTACCATTTTACTTTCCCACCAGCAATGACAAGACATTTAATTTCTCCTCATTCTTGCCAACAGTTGTCATTGCTCTATGTTTTATTTAAGCCATTCTGCTAGGTGTATAGCAAAATTCAACTGCGCTTTAGTTTACTGTTCCTCCATGGCCACTGGTATTGAACATCTTTTCATGTGCCTCTTTCCCATCTGTCTGTCCTTCTCAGTGAACTATACCTTGATGACTTTTGCCCATTTTTTAATTAAATCTGGGCATGGGCCAGGGAGATTGGGAAATTAAAATAGAGAACTGAAAGAGTTCTCTAGCGCATCTAAAATGCAGCCAAATTTTGGAAGCCCTGCCATATTATAACCTCTCTGTGTGGTTACACTCTAAACTTCAGTTGTAACACGGATGCTAAAATTAAAATAAGGCCAGTCTAGGTGCCAACAAATTAAATATGGAAATATGGATGCAGTCCAAGGGAAAGGGAATGGAAGGTGTTTTCCATGACCTCAGATTGTTTGCATATTCTCACCACAGGGCTGGAAGAGGATAGTTCCAGAAGTGTCACCCAAATACCTCTGGCTTCAGAATTGTGTGTGTCTGTGTACATAGAGGCGAGCACCTATGTGTAACATGGTGGCTTCCAGGCCCCTACTGAATCAGAGAGTATCAGTCAGGTTTCTGGCACTAGGACAAAAGTACCCAGCATACACAGTTTAAAGAAGAATGGATGTATTTTGCTCATGATTTCAGACCATGGTTGGTGGACTCCAAGGCAGAAACGTCATGGCGGAACCTGGCAAGGAAAGCTGCTCACCCCAGGAGAAAGCAGAGAGACAGAGTGGAAGAGCCCAACAGAAAGGACAGGACTAGAGACAAGACACACCCTCCAAAGGCAAGTCTCCGCTTACCTTCCTCCTCCAACTAGGCCCCACGGTTAATAGCCATTCAGCTATGTCCTCATCAGTAGACTGACCAGTGGAGTACTGTAACCTGAACTGTACACGTGGAGCTGCTTGTACATAGAGAAAGCAGAGCTCCCTGACATGGTAAACTGTATAAGTTAAAATTTATTTCCACCCTGCTACTTGGAACTCTGTGGTTATGGGAAAATAAGCCACACCCTTTAAATACACACATGTGGCCCCAAGTCTGTTTCCATAGCCACCTCTCCATGCCCATTCAGGTGAAGGCTCTTTTGTGTTCCAGCTTCTGTCCTGAGTCATCTTGGATGGTTGCCTGAATTCTCTGAATGGCTTTGTCATAATTGATATTTTGATGACATGCCCAGCCTTGTTGTCATGATCCCTGGTTTGGTGCCATTTTCTCTGTTTGGTACTCAGGTACTTCCTGAAGGGGAATGATGAAATGGTTTCCTCATTTCTCATCCCAGACTTTAAACTGAATCCTCCCTCCAAGGTTTCTACCCTTTGGGGATCACAAGGGGCTCATTCCTCAGAAATTAGCTCAGTAGTTATTAAAAGCAGGGCCCGAGGCAAGCTTTAAGGTGCAAGGCCCTGACCCAGCACAGCAAGAGTCAGGGAAAAATTCAAGGCGATGCAGAATCCCTGCATATTGCTCTGCCATGCCAGATGCGCTAGGTAGGCCATGTGGAACCATGACAATGTCTGTCACAGGTGAGGAAGGGAGAGATAAGTTTATTTGTTGATTTCATCTCCTCTCACTGGCCAAAGCTGGCCCTTTGGGACTCAGCTCCTCCTCAGTTTGGGGTTGTCACCTGGCCTTCAAGCAGTGGCAGAGCAGCCACTTTCTATGCCCTCAGCAAGGGGAAGGATGGTGCCCTGAGGTGAGGCCTATGGCTTCTATGGAGTGGATACAACATCACCCCTAAGCCTAGAGTGGCTGCATCTGCAGGGGTTGGCTGAGAAGAGGTGAGGGTAGGAATCTGGGGCTCCCCGTTGGGCAAGCAGGGAGGGCCCCACCAACAGATGGAGCCAAGCAAATCTGGGAAGACACACACCCAGTACCCTTCCCGTTTGTGATGTAGTATTTGAGAATCCATCAAGGTTTTTGCTTGGGAGCCACAAGAACATACCTCACTTCCTTAACCCAGAAAGGGATTCATTTATTATACATTTAAAAGCTTTCAGAGACTGAAAAATGAGTGGGCTCATAGAACAAGCAATGAGAGGCACAGACCAGGCAGCAGAAACAAAAACCCAACCCCTGTGTCACAGTGGCAGAACCCAGAGCTCTTCCTCTGCTGTGGCCCAAGTCACTGTCTTCCCAAGAGATTGTACACACCATGGAGCATGCCTCTGAAATAGCATCAGGAGTTTGAGCTTGCTACAGGTTAAACTGTTCCTCCTTTCCCAAAACTTCATATGTTGAAGTCCTAACAACCAGTACTGCATTCAGCATGTGCCCTTATTTGAAGACAGGGTCTTCACAGAGATATTGGGGCTAAAATGAGGTCGTTAGAGGAGCTCTACCCCAATATGACTCGTGTCCTTACAGGAAGGGGAAACTTGGACAGGGACATGCACAGAGGGAACATGAGGCAAAGACAGAAAACGGGGCCACCTCCAGCCAAAGAGCAAGGCCTGAAACAGATCCTTCCCTCCCTGCTCTCAGAAGGAACTGGCCGTGCCAGCAGCTCGCTCCAGAGTTATGAAACAATAAATTTGTGCTCTTCAAGCCCCCTAGTTTGTGTTACTTTTAATGGCAGTCCTAGCAAGCTAACACAGTGCTAGAGAGCCATGGGTAGGAGGAGAAGAAACAGAATCCCCACCAGTCTGTTAAACTCTTCGCAGATTGCTAAGCATGTGGATATATTTATATCACCTCGCTGTGGAGTTACAAGATCTGGGCAGTCACCCAGTGCTCTGTTCTCAGACATACCCAGCCCTTGGTTTAATCTCTGCTGTCACCATCTTGAAATCCTTTTTCTGTGGGGGGGTATCGGGGATCGAACTTGGGACCTTGTACTTTCAAGGCAGGTAGCAGCACCACGAAGCTAAATCCCTGGACTCTCTTCATAATTTTTTTAACAAAGAGCCCTACGTTTTCATTTTACATTGAGCCCCATAAATTTATATAGCATGTCCTATCACTTGGTTATCACAGCAATTCTACGAGCTGAGATAGAGATTTTTATCATTACTTACACTTATTGATGATGAATCCAAAGCTGGGAGATATTGAGCGACTGAATCAAGGTCAGCAGAATTACCCAGAATTGGATCCAGAACTAAGATGTCAGATGTAAAACCTCTGTTTTACAGTCAGTTTTGAAATTCTGTTATTTTTAGAATTTGGACAGATTTGGAAGTAAGCCCTTTGACATAGCTGTCTTGCCCTTCCTCCAGTATCTTGACTATAATTTAATGTGTGAAAACAGGCTCAGTGTCTTCTGTGTGCCCCTTGATGTCCCTGTCGCCTAGTCAAGGGGCTCCTCTACCCGCCCAACTGTGGCATCACCTACACTGCTGGTTTTCTCTAGTCAACTTTTATGAGTGCTCCTTTTAGAGGGTTCTTGCCTGCCTGGACCCCTGGTCACCCTGACTTGGTGTGACTGTTAATCCTGATACGCCAGCTTCATCAGATTTAGAACTACCTAGTGGGTTAGTAAAGCGCACTCCTGGGAGTGTCTGGGTCGGTCACAGTGTACTAAACATGATTCCTCACTCTCAAGCCCTGTTCCCCTGTTGTTTCCCAGACACCATGAACTAAGCCGCTTTGCTCTGCTACACCCTCCCACCTTGATGTTTCTGTCTTGGAGCCAGCTGACCATGGACTGAGTCTCCTAAAACCATGAGCGAAATTAAGCGTTTCCCCCTTTAAATTGTGGGTATCAGGTATTGTGTCTCAGCAACAGGAAAGTTTAGTAATACTCTTGGGCTTAGATAGAAACTGATGACCTCATGTTACTGAATCTCTGGCACTGGCCAAGGTCCTTGCAGAAAAAACTTTAAGAACAATCAGTTGACCTCTTCCTTGGTCCTGGTCATTCAGTCTCTTGTTTCTCCTGGGATAAACCAACCTTATACACCATTATGAAGTCTTACTATCTCTCACAGTCTGTATCTTCCTTTTCTCCTCTTTCCTCTCTTTTCTGTTCTGGCTTTGATGATTGTGCTCGTTACTTTTCTCTTGTTGGTGAGACAAAACACCCGACATCCAGAGTTAAAAGGGAAGGGGTTTATTTGGCTTACAGTTCATAGAGGTTCCAGCCATAATCAGCTGGCTCCGAGAGGCTGGGGCGGCAAACAAGCATCTCAGAAGAGGAACAACATGGCGAGCAAAAGGCAGCAAAGGTAACAAGAGGAATTTAACAATGTCTCCCTGCCCCTTTTATTTTACTCAGACTACTTAGGGCAGGCAGCACCCACACCCTTAATCCTAGAGCCCTTGAGCCTAGCACTGCATCATGGATCAATTCCAGCTTCACACACTCTAGATCCAGCCTATGCCCACAGGAGGCTCTGGGGGACATCCAGACCCACACCGTAACGCTGATGCTCTTCCAGCACACAGATGTCCTTGCTCTTTGTCATGCCTTTGAATGTAGTACCTTTTCCACAGCTCCTGTTCTACCATGGTTTTCTATAGCCTCTCACTTCTTGCTAGCTCTGTCCCTAGCATCACCAACACACCTCTCACCAGCATCCTGAAGAAACATTAAACACCAGTTGTGCTTCACTTACTCTTGGGCCCCACTTGATGAGATCATTTTCCAAATGCACAAAAATGTGTAAAAGAGACAATAGGAGGTTTGGGAGTTTTAATTTTTTTCTTTACTGCAGAATGCAACCTTGTAGGGCAAGGTGCACAGTACTTATCCTTAGCTTTTATTCATTCATCCACTGAGAAGCACACAAGTTGTTGGCGCACATTCCTTTCTCCAGAAACAGCTTCTCTCCCTTTTAGTGTGGGTTTGGTGGGTCTGCTGGCCTTCTCATTGTTTCCCCCTGTGACTTAGAGTGGCCGTCAGTGATGGGAGAATAGATTCAGTATCATACATGATGATGGGCAGGTAGAAACGGGAGAGGGAAGGTGTCTCTTCCTCTAGGAAATGGGAAAAGATGGCGACCAATGCTAAGAAATAAAAAAAGGAAACCAAAAGGGATGGAGGGTTGGACCTGGATATAAAGATTACAAATTGACAAATCTCTTCTGATGATTGTACACTCACAGAGTCAATAGAGATTTAACTGTACATAACTGTTTAGAGTTTTAAGGGTTGGTGGTGGTAGAAAAAACATGTGTAGCAAAGAAGGGCCTTGAATTCTCAGGACCTTTTTTTTAGTGTATGGCAATTTCTGGGTTGTTACAATGCTGGGGGCGGGGCTGGCTTCGAGAGGCAGAAATGCTAGACACTTGCAGGGTGCAGAATGAGGGACTGATTGTCCAAGTAGTCACTCTACCACTGCAGGGGCGGGAGAAAGGCCTGCCATACATAGAGGGGAGCAGAGTCCCGGTGTCGTGGAAGGAATGTGTGTGTCTACCCTGCTGGTGCCTGAACCCCCTTCTCAGGCTGTAGGTTGCCATGTGAGCCTCTCTGAATTGGGTTCAGTCCTTTGCAGTAGAAAGGGAATGAACAGTTTCACACACACGAAGAGTGAAGGGCTCTGAGCTTCTGCAGTTCCCTCCCGTAACTCTCTCATCTTCATCACACTAAATTGGCCCTTCCTATTAAATCAGGTGTGCCGTCAATTTACCCACAAACCTGACACACCAATCCCCTGCCTCAATTTCTTCCTGGCTGTTCTTTGTCCAGAGACTTGAGAGCAAGGCACAGAAAGGCCTGGTGCTGAATCCTCAGTCTCACCTCTGGCTGCTTCACTGCAGAGAAGCTGAATCTTCTGAGGACTTCTGCCGTTCATAGTCTTGCTTATGTGAGGCTCTCTGCATGGAGCATATCTTCTACCTCTCTCTTCCAGACTTGGCTCAACCATCAAATTTCTCACATGAAGTCTTCCATAAGCCCTAGTTAGACGAGTGCCCCTCTTCTGTGCTTCCAGAGCACACAGGATAGACCCCTAGCATAGGAGCGGTTTGTGCTGTCATTTGCTGGTGTGTCTGTCTCACTAAAGACTCTCAGATCCAGGGCTTGTACCTTATTCAACGTTGTCTCCTACAGAACCTAATGT